AAGTTTAGTTTAGTGATTTAAACTTGATTTTTAAAGTTATTTTTGGAATTTATCAAATTTGTAGAATGACACCAAGAATGAAAAGGAGCAAAAGAAAGAGCTCATTTGATTTGAGCAAATTTGTCAGTTCAAAAGCTCAGGATCGATATAGTGACGCTCTGCAATCACGAAAATTGATTCAGAAGTGATGAGTGTGTTTTAAGAGTCCAGGAGGAGAAGTGGAAGACCTGATAGTCCGCCGATAGTGGGAACAATTATGTTGTTTCTCTGATGTCGCTGTTATTTCTGTTGTTAGTTCTGTTGTAAGAGAGTTTTATGCAAATCTCCCAGCGGCTGAGGATGATCGAGTTATAGTTTAAAGGAAGTTGGTACCTTTTAATCTAGAGGCAATCAACTTGTTTTACCATTTACCACTGGAGATTTTATGTTTTTATGTGAATTATAGTCCTACGGAAGTGGAATTGGACGAGATCATATCTTATTTGAATGTTGGAAGAGAACTTTGGAAGATTACAAATGAGAGGAGATTAAATTTTCTAACTTCAAAGTTGTGTGCACCATCAAAGGCTTGGCACTATTTTATATCCGCTCGTTTGCTTCCTACAAATCATCTCAGCGAAGTGACTAGAGAGAGAGAGCGACGTTGAACTATTGTATTCAGGAGGGAAAGCCCATCAACATAGGGGCTTTGATCTATCACACTATCATCAGTTCAACTGCTACTACTACTACTGCAGGTATGGGATTTGCTTCCTTGATATTTTCTTTATGCGAGCAGGCTGGAGTAAAGTATGATAGTTGGGAGGAAGTTATGTTACCTCTAAATTCCATCACAAAGGTGAATGTGAAGACTTATTCTGAGCATTCAATTTTTGGCTGGAGAGGAGGATATTCCAGGAGCTATGGAATGGAAATGTCTGCTGCATCTACCTCTGCTGCTTCTTTATTTAGACCATCTACTTCACGTGCTTCTACATCTAGAGGTGATTCTACTAAGACTCAGGATGAGTTATTGTAGAAGATGATGGAAAATATCAATTTTATCGTTGATAAGATATAAAATTTAGAGCGTTTTGCAGATCATACTAATAGTTATAATAGAAGGAAAAGTGATTATGAAGAGAAATTTCACTCATCTTTGGAGAGCCTGAGGTGAACCAGGAGTGCAATTACCTCCATATCCTCGATATCCTGATTATGAGCCTGCAGAAAAATGGTACAACGGTGATTCTGCAGATGAAGAGTAGAGCTGAGAGATTCATTTTATGATTGTAATATAATATGAACTATGTGGTTTGAGCTTGCTACATTTGCATATGTGTGTTGTTTTGGACTATGTTGTGTTTTGGACTTTTATGTTTTATTATTATTATGACGTTTGTGGTAGTTAATATTTTATTTTTAAATTTCAGGGTTTTAATTGTTGTTTGGTGTTTAGTACTATGATTTAGTTAGTTTAGAACATAACTTAATTTCATATCTGTTATAAAGTAGAAAATATTGCCAGCTTAGATCTTAATTTTAAAATTCAGAAACTGCTACCTTATATTTTTCTATTATCATGTTAGTGCCTTGTTTTCTTTTATACCCACTGTTTAGAAGTCTATTGGAATCTCTACATGTTAAACTAAATATAAATGTTAGAAAATTTCATCAAAATTAATTTTACTCCTGTCTTTAGTTTTATACTT